ATTACTGGATTAGAGCATTAGTCTTTATGCAGCACCACATAACATAGGATAGAAATCCACTTTGGTGAACAGTGAGGGTGTAGATTTGGAAGGGGAGGGGGGTACAATGCAAAGCCTAAGATATTAAGAAGCTTTTAAAGACAGAAATATTTTTAATATCCTAGGTGCATTGTATAACAGCCTTGCTTTGCCACCACAAAGTCTCAGAGAAAGTGAGATGGCTTCATACTACATTGCCGCCCCTTGTCGCTGTGGCCTCAGTGGCGCAGCTTCAAAAAGTAACACTGTGCTCTTCTGCATTGAAGCTCTCTGTGATTCTCAACAGCTGAGAGCCTCAACCACTTAAGGCAAGAGAGAAAATCCTTCCCTATCCCTGCTAGTTTTAAATGCCAACTTCTGGTTTTGTAATGTTAAATTAAATGTCAAATTTCCATTAAATAAAGAGTCTATGTCTGTAACACAGTTTTACCAACCTTTCTTAACAAGCTGATCATTCAATCTATATAACCTCTTGGATATTTAATAGGAATACATGTCTGCAAGGGTATTAGAATCATAGAATCCTAGAGTTGGAAGGGAACTTGTGGGACATCCAGTCCAATCCCCTGCCAAGAAGCAGGAAAGTTGCATTCAAAGCACCCCCAGCAGATGGCCACACAGCCTTTGCTGAAAAGCCTCCAAAGGAGGAGCTTCCACCACATTCCAGGGCAGAGAGTTCCACCGCTGAACAGCTCTCACAGGAGCCTTCCACACAGCCATATAACCAGAACATTGAGGCAGAAAATCCCATAACATTTGCTTTGAACTGAGATATCTCAGTCCACACTGCCATATATTTCAGTTCAAAGCAGATAATGTGGGATTTTATTCAGCTGTGTGGAAGGGGCCACAGTTAGGAAGCTCTTCCTAATATTCGGGTGGAATCTCCTTCCCTGTAGTTTGAAGCCATTGCTCTGCATACTAGTCTCCAAGGCAACAGAAAACAAGCGTGCTCCCTGGCCATGCATAAATATGTGACTTCCCCTCACATATTTATACATGACTATCATATCTCCTCTCAGCCTTCTCTTCTGTAGGCTAAATATGCCCAGCTCTTTAAGCCGCTCCTCATAGGGCTTGTTTTCTCCATCTGGACACATTCCAGCTTGTCAACATCTCCCTTCAGAATTGGACACAGTGTGATTCCAGGTGTGGTCTGACCAAGGCAGAATAGAAGGGTAGCATGACTTCCCTGGATTAACCTTGGCATAAGACCCATTGAGCTAATACGTTCTGCTCCTTTATAAACATTTCCAAGTTTGGATTGCAATGTCAAGGATCTTCACAGCTAGCCTCTTCCCTGGGCACATTTACACAAATCTAAGTCCCACAGGGTTCAATGAAACCTAGAATGACTGAATGCTGCTTGACACCACTTTAAAAGCCATGGCCCAATGCTAAGAAATCATAGGAGTTAATAATAATAATAATAATAATAATAATAATACTTTATTTATACCCTGCTACCATCTCCCCAAGGGACTCGTTGTGGCTTACATGAGGCCAAGGAGTTGCGGTATTACAAGGTCTTTAGCCGTCGCTACCAAAGAGTACTGGTACCTCACCAAACTCTGTTTTTATTCATGCAGGAGCAACTTGAGAAACTGCAAATCGCTTCTGGTGTGAGACAACAGGCCATCTGCAAGTAGGTTGATGTTTTTGATGTTTTACAATCCTTGTGGGAAATTTTTCTCATGTCGCTGCATGGGGAGCTGAAGCTGACAGAGGGAGCTCTACTTGGATTTGAACCTCCAAACTGTCAGTCTTTAGTTCTGCTGGCAGAAGGATTTAACCCATTGTGCCACCGGGGGCTCCTACCAAGCTCATGATCCCCTAGCATTGAGCTGTGGCATCAAAGTGTGTTCATTCTACAGTGTAGATGCCCTTCCACTCCCAAGAAAGAAGTGTAGACTCACATCCTTAGTAAAAATTGAGGGAGGAGGCTACATTGCAGCAAGAGAAAAAAAAATCTTGTGGAATTTTAAAGATTAGTTGGTTTTATTTGGCACAAGTTTCCATAGACTACATCATCCATTTCAAGAGATGAAGCCTGAACAGCAATGTGAAACCAAATGTAGAAATCGCATGGAAAGCCTGTATATAAACATCCTTCCCTATATTATTTCAATATCTCTATTTCCACTGCGTACAGCCTTCTTTCTTTTCTTTAAAAGTATCTGGAAACACTAAGTGACAACCTCACTCGAAGTCAGTGACAAAATTGCTCATTATAAAGATTTCCATCTGTACCAACAGAGATGAAAGAGACCAATTGCAAAGCCTAATGGCCATCTCAATGGACCGACATTCTATATAAAACTTTCGAAGAGATAGGTGTCAAATACGGTACTCATCTTAAAGAAGAACCAGTAATGTGGGAGACACAACACTGTAGAATGAGCTAGGGATAAATACTGATACTGCCCAATTCTGAACCAACTATATCTATCTATCTATCTATCTATCTATCTATCTATCTATCTATCTATCTATCTACACACAGAGAGAGAGAGACAGATAGATAGATACTAGCCGTCCCCTGCCACACGTTGCTGTGGCCCACATGGGGGTTCTGTGTGGGAGGTTTGGCCCAATTCTATTGTTGGTGGGGTTCAGAATGCTCTGTGATTGTAGGTGAACTATAAATCCCAGCAACTACAACTCCCAAATGTCAAGATTCTATTTTCCCCAAACTCCACCAGTGTTCACATTTAGGCATATTGAGTATTTGTGTAGAGTTTGGTCCAGATCCATCATTGTTTGTGTCCACAGTGATCTCTGGATGTAGGTGAACTAGAACTCCAAAACCAAAGGACACTGCCCACCAAACCCTTCCAGAGTTTTCTGTTGGTCATGAGAGAACTGTGTGCCAAGTTTGGTTCAATTCCATCATTGGTTGGGGTTCAGAATGCTCTTTGATTGTAGGTGAACTATAAATCCCAGCAACTACAACTCCCAAATGACAAAATCATTTTTTTTTAGTGAAGGAAATACAATGGGTTGTTAGGTGTCTTGTGTCCAAATTTGGTGTCAATTCATCCAGTGGTTTTTGAGTTCTGTTAATCCTACAAACAAACATTACAATTTTATTTATATATATGTGTGTGTGTTATTTATTTATTTAGGCATGTGTAGTCCTTTCTCAACCTCTGCAGAAGGACTCAGGGTGGCTACCAACTGGCAAAGCATAGTGCCAACAACTAAGTAAAAACAAGCATATATGCACATATTATAATAAAACAAATATAAAAAATACATTAAAACAGTTTGTCAATTTAAGTCGTCATCCTAGAAACAGTCCATCATAGTTGATTCAAACAGTAAGTCAGTCTATTCTGCGAATGCTTGATCCCACAACCAGGATACATATATATGAAAAATATACTGACTTTACCTAGATATAGATATATACCTCAAACGACATTTCGTAGCATTACTTTAACTCTTGAAGGGGTAAATGACAGTGCCTCTCAACTGCAAACACATACAAATCGGGGATTCATACAGTAAGTCAGTCTGTTCTGCAAATGCTTGATCCCAAAACCAGGATACATATATATGAAAAATATACTGACTTTACCTAGATATAGATATATATACCTCAAATGACATTTCATAGCATTACTTTTAACTCTTGAAGGGTAAGTGACAGTGCCTCTCAGCCGCAAACACACACAAATCAGGGCTTACGGAGAATGACAAAGGGGGAAATGCCCATTATCTCTGAGCAAAAGGAGGATTTGCTATCATTATTCCATATAATCAGTTACTTCACAAAATTCAATACGGGAAGGGAAATGACTGCAGGTAGAAATTATTTAATTCGCAACATCACTGTTAAAGCTTGCAGTGGCGGAAAGGAAGAGAGACAACAATATATCCTCATAGGTTGCTAGCAACAGGGGAAAACATAGAAAAGCCTCTGGGAAGTGATCCAGCACTTAGCTGAGAAGATGCTTGGGAAGGAAATCAGGAGAGGAGGATGAAGTTAGGATACTGGGAGGGCTGCCCAATTAAATAATAATAATAACAACAACAACAATAATAATAAACAAAAAAAATTTGTCGTGTCAGGAGCAAGTCGCTTCTAGTGTGAGAGAATTGGCCGTCTGCAAGGATGTTGCCCAGGGGACGCCCGGATGATTTGATGTTTTTATCATCCTTGTGGGAGGCTTCTCTCATGTCCCCGCATGAGGAGCTCGAGCTGAAAGAGGGAGCTCACCCGCCTCTCCCCGGATTCGAACCTGCAACCTGTCGGTCTTCAGTCCTGCCGGCACAGGGGTTTAACCCACTGCGCCACTGGGGGCTCCTGATAATATAACAATAATAATATAACAATATAACAATATATTATTATTATTATTATTATTATTATTATTATTTACTGCGCTTATATACCGCAATTCTCAGCCCCAAGGGCGACTCATTGCGGTATATTGTTAATATATTGATATATTGATAATTTATTGTTAATATATCCTGATAATATAATAATAATAATATAAATCTCACAACAACAAAAATAATAAACAATAATAATATAGATCTCGTTTGCTGTGACATACTGCATTTTGTGTCAGTCAATTAATAATAAATAATTTATGAAATTTTTAATAATTATAATAATTAGAGGAAATCATGAAAACGTGTCTATACTTTTCTAATCAAAATAAAGAGGAGTGGGAAACAACCACTATCCTGATCTAATTCAGTGGGTTCAAGTTATGCTACTGGAAGATCTGCCCAAAATAATAATAATAATTGCATTTTGGGGGAAATATGTAAACTAGTTTATTGTTCCCAAGCAAAAGAAAGGGGGAGATGAGCACCACTACTAAATTCCTATTCAGTGGAGCCAAAGATCAATTATCTTCTCTCTTTCTTTTTCTCAAAGGAAGGACATCAACAAAAGGGGAGCGGCAATCAAGCCTTGCAAAGAGGTGACTGGCAGCAGAGCTTACCTGCCCCAAAGGTGCTTTCAAGAGCGAGGGAGAGAGATGTTCCAGATGTGGCCGCACTCAGAGCCCGCTGCTTCCTTCGCCGGCACCGCCTCAGGGATTGTTTCTGGTGCGCCTCTGCGCTAGGAATGGTTTTACTCCGCAGGCCCGCCCACTTCCCCTTCGCTCCGCCCCCTTTCTGCCTAATATGGGATACGCCACGCCCCCTTCCTCCCGATTGGTGTATCGCTTCTCCCCTTCTTATGCTTCTTCGCGCTTTCTCTCCGCCCCTTTTTTCCCAAATATGGGCAACGCCACGCCCCTTACTCCCTTTTGGCCTCCCCCTCTTCTCGCTTTAAGATGCTACTTCTCAATGTCTCTCTCTCCGCCCATTTTCTYCCTAATWTGGGCAACGCCACGCCCCCTTTCTCCCTATTGGCCTTCCCCTCCTCTCCCTTTCGGATGCTACTTCCCAATGACTTTCTCCGCCCACTTTCGTCCTAATATGGGCAAAAGCCACGCCCCTTAYTCCCTATTRGCCTTCCCTTCCTCTCCCTTTCGGGTGCCACTTCCCAATGTCTCTCTCTTCGTCTACTGCCTTCCATATATAGGCAAAGCCCCGCCCCTTGCTCACTCTTGCCCCTCCTCCTCTTCCTTTCGGATGCTACTTCTCAATCTCTTTCTCTCCGCCCACTTTTTCCTAATATGGGCAACGCCACGCCCCTTACTCCCTATTGGGCTCCACCTCCTCTCCCTTTCGAATGCTACTTCCCAATGTCTCTCTCTCCTAATATGGGCAACGCCACGCCCCCTTCCTCCCTATTGGTCCCCTTTCATGAGTCTCTTGCGGTCTTCGCAAAGCATCTCGGTAGTTGTAGTGTTCAAGGCGCGACTACAGGCCCCGTGGGCCCCCGCGGTCGCCGGCTAGTTCCGGACAACGCCTGGTGTGTGGTAACGACGGCGGTGGCATAGGAGAGAAGGAGGACGCTGCTACTTCCGGCCTCGGCGAAAGAGGAGCCTCGAAGGGCGGACAGGCAGGCGGGTGAGGGGAGGTGAGGCGGCCGCTGCGCGCTCTCCTTCGTTAGTAGTGGGGTCGCTGGCAGGGCCTGGCCTCGCGGGGCTTCGAGGACGGGGTTGGCCCCTGGCAAGCCGACTTGAGAGCAGGCGTCGGGCCTAGTGGCTTGGCTGAGGAGAGAGAAAGAGAGAGAGAGAAACGCCGTTGGTTCTTCCTTTTGCTGAGGTATCCAGCCCGAGTGGCGGGGAGGAAGGAGAGGGAATATGGGGAGGTGGACTAGGCCTCAGCCTGGAGGTCAGGGTTCAGGAGACCCATTGGGTGACCTTGGGCGAGCCACACTCTCTCAGCCTCAAGGGCAACCCCCTCTCTGGAGAAATCTTGCCCTGTGATGGGGTTTCCAGAGGGTCACCCTAATTAAGGTACTAATGAAGCCATGGGGATGATTATATGTATTTATACCCCCGTTTTATCTCCCCCAAAGGGGACTCAAGGATCAGCATAGCCCAGGCATGGGCAAACATCGGCCCTCCCTCCAGGTGTTTTGGACTTCAACATGAAAAATGAAAGGGCCTGTGGCTGTTAGGAATTGTGGGAGTTGAAGTCCAAAAACCCTGGAGGGTCGAAGTTTGCCCATATCTGCAATAGGCTGTAAGGAATTGTGGGAAGCGAAGTCCAAATCACTTGCCTGGCATAGCTATTTGAAATATACAAACATTGAAACAGGGTTAAGTGTAAATAGTATTTTTAAATTCCCAGTTAAAAATAATCCAAACACATTCACAGTTGAAAACCACAGCACCCCCGTGAATTGATCTTAAGATGAGGAGAGACAGGTAAAAATGGTAGATTGTTGTAATTGAAGGCACACAACAACAACAATAACAATGGCAATAAAGAAGAAATTGGTAGGTGCATTCAGGGGCTGCTCAACCCATTACGCAAAGTAAGCATTTGTAGTATAGTTGATTTTGCCCAGGGGCGCTCTTGAGGTGCTCTTGGGGAAAAATAGACCCTGACATATGCGAGTTGTAGTTACTGGGATGTATAGTTCGCCTACAATCAAAGAGCATTCTGAACTCCACCAGTGATGGAATTGAACCAAATATGGCACACAGAACTCCCACGACGAACAGGAAAATATATATCAGTATTGTTTTTTTTTTTTTGGGGGGGGGGGATACTGTTTGCTTACCATTCAAAATTACCTAGGGCTGCCTCTGGATGCATTACATTGAGGAGGGCATCTACACCCAGCATGGGCAAACTTCGGCCCTCCAGGTGTTTTGGACTTCAACTCCTACAATTCCTAACAGCCAGTAGTCTGTTAGGAATTGTGGGAGTTGAAATCCAAAGCATCTGGAGGGCCGAAGTTTGCCCAGAAGACCAGAGTTTGGGAACAAATGCAGTTTCGCAGCACTTTAATTGCTGCAGCCCATTGCTATGGAATCACAGGAGTTGTGTTATGATTCAAAAGACTGTCTCAAAGCTAACTTTTAAGAATGTGGTATAAACACAGAGAACTGGGAAGCCCTGCCACCCCAGCAAAATCCACATTTACAAACGGTGCAATGGATTTTGAAGAGGCTGGAGTGCAGGGTGTAACAAGCCAAGAGGAAGTCGCACCCTTTGTTGTGACCGCCTTCCATCTTGAAATTGATGTCCTCATTGCGAAACGCCATGTGGATCTAGCATAGGTCTTCACAAGGCCCTTCCAGACAGGCCCTATATCCCAGGAACTGATCCCAAGTGTTCTGCTTTAAACTAGATTATATGAGTCCCTGTTGCCAGATAATCTGAGATGAGATCCCGGGATATAGAACCTGTCTGGATGGGCCCACAGTCACAGACCCACCATCAAGACTCTACCTCTGGAAGATGATCATATGCAGCCACGAGGGATTGCCTACAAGGTCTTTAGCCTTCCCTAGTAAAATATACTGATGCCTGACCAAATTACAACTCCCATGATTCCATATCATAGAACCATGGCAGTCAAAGGGATTCCAAACTGCATTAATTCTGCAGTTTAAATGTGCCAAAGCATAAATTAACCAAGGAGTTTGGATTTTTTTTTTTTATATAAGGTGGAAAAAAAATAATGGGGATGGCAGGAGGAAGAGGTAGTAGAAGTGAGGGTTTTGTTTTCTTGGTGTTGATAAAGTCTGGCCAGAGCCAGCTGTATTTGAGGAAAAATAAGGTGCCAGTCTTAAACAGTAGACTTGGATTGCCAACAAATTCTTTGTTGCTTATAGTGGGCCCTTGGAATCTGCCAAGTTTTGGTTCTAGGACTCCCTGCGGATACCAAAAATTGTAGGTTCCTTATATAAAATGCTGTTCCTTATATATAATGGTGAAATCAAGATTTGTCTTTGGAAATAGTTGAATCCCTGATGTTGAACTCATGGATACAGAGAGACTGACTGTACTTCATTACTGTGCTTTTGCTTCCAGGGATGGGGAGTGGTTGCGTTCCGCCTCATTTGCTGAAATAATTAGGCAGGCTTCAGAGTTTTGGTTTCATTGACTTCGGTGACATTGACCATTGTTTGCTATTCTTTCTCAGGCCACAAAATGTATTGGGCCAACCCTGAGTATGGCCCACTTGGACTAAGGTTGGTTGTGGAAATGAGAATGGCATGTTCTCCCCATTCCTCTCCCTTCATCCACAAAGTGCCCTCCCTTTGCTTGGTACTGATTTGACATTTATGGCTTATGCAAATGGATGAAGCTTTTGTAACAGTATATTTTTAAAATGAGATTTCAACTGCAGGTGGTAATGGTTGATGGCTTCTGAACTCTTCTCAGGTGAGGAGGCACACTACATCTAGGAGACTGTATTCATTATTTGTTTATTTAAACAAATAAATGTTAGTATGCCAGGTTAGGTTTCAGTTCCCACATATTTTCAGTTTGTAGCCTATAGGAAAGTGTATTATATTATGCAGCATATAGGAAGAAATTCCAGGAACACGTTATCTTGTGCTAAAGTCCATACACCACCTCCCCCATGTATGTTCAGACACGCATCCCAACCATGGGTCATTATGATGGGCAAAGTGCACAAACGGACCTTTGCTGTAATCCAGAATTTTTAAAAAACTAGGAACAGGAAATGGATTGACTTGAGGAAAAGAAGAATAGGTGAGGAATGCAACCAAGATAATGTCATTGCATACCTTTCCTGCTTGCAAACTTTTCATATGCATTTTTATTGTCAGATATGCAAACAGAATATAAGGCTAGATAAGCCATTGGTATGATATGGTGTGGCTTTTCTTATATGTTTAACAGTTCAGTTATTCTAATGAGGAACTTGTGTTACATTATTATTCATGGTGACTCATTTGTGAGTTGGTGGAATGGCAGTAAGAAGAATCTGTACAATGGCCAAGGAACTGATTGAGGATCATGCAAGTTGATCCCAGGGACCAAATTATGTTGATTAAATCATTTTGCCAGTGAATGAGTACAGAACCTGGTGAAGAGGAGGAGGTCTTCTCTAACTTTGAAGAAGTGAGCCTCATTACTCAGATACAACCAGTCTGATCAAGTTAGGAACCTAATGGAAAGTAATATAAATGTTACTAAATAATTCAAGAAGGGTAGGATTATTATTAACCAATTGCAGACTGTTTTTCCTGACTTGAAAAGCAATTCTGTTGCAGAAAAGAATAAATATAGAAACAAATTGAAGTTATGAGACTTTTAAAGTATAAAAGTAGGCATCCCATAGAAACAGGTGCTTGTGCTTCTATTTGTCTTATTACTAGCATGGAAAACTGATTACTACTGTGTAGTAGTCTTTGATACCTGGATGGGAACCAGACATGATCTGTACACTTACACCCAATCCTTAAGGTATTTTTGTTAATGTAGTTGATGTGTAGCACTTTTTGCTGTATCTATTTAAGTCAGTCTCAAGTTTAAGTTGAGGGCAAAATTATGGGTTTTTATATAATACATGGATATGATGAGGGTGATTCCACAGAGAGGAGAAAGTACTAGTGCTGCCTTGAGGGGAAAAGGGCAGCCATCGCCTTCATTTCCCCACCCAGGCATTCAAAAATGCTAGAAGCAGCACCACAGTACAGAGAGTATAGGTGATTGGGACTTTTTTAAAGTTACAGACTTATGTTCTTTCCTTTCACCACTCTAATGAGATAAGGAGAAAGTTCCTTTAAAAAAAAAAGAATTAAGAGACAATACTTCCATTGACCTGTGGATAAGTTGACCCATGTTTTTTGAATTTGGTTTTTGCTTATAATTTCTCAAGTATATATTTTCTCATGTGGTGTGTTTTTGTCTTAAAAACAACTGAGTATTTGAAGGAACTAGAAAAAATCCTCTTTTGTCTACTTTTGACCACATCTGATTGACATTCCAGTCGTGAAAAAGACCAGTGCCAAAAGTAGATAGAGTTATAGGTGTATTTTTACCTGTATTTAGTAATATAGCAAGAATGGGTATTTTATACAGATGTACTAAATAATAACAACAATCCAAAGTGAAGATGGTGAGGGGGCATTAGATGGATTTTAATTGGATGGTTCAATGTAGAGAACTTTACGGATTGAATTTGTACCATTTCATTAATTCTTGTTCACGTATAACAGTGATTCCCAACCTTTTTTTTAACCAGGGACCTCTTTGACCAGGGACCACTTTCCAACATTAGTACCAAAAGGAACGGGGCTGGTCAGCTCTGTGGAAAGGAGCAGAAATAAAATAAACCAAAAGGAAGGAGGTTTGCGAATCGGATTTTTGTTCTCACGGCCCACTGCTGGGCCATGCCTCATAGGTTGGGAACCACTGACAAAAAAGGTTTTCCTTTTTGTGGAGCCATTGTTTTCACAGTGTATCTGACACACAGAAAATGAAACTAATTGCTTTCTAATTCATTTGTAAAGCCAGTATCTTTTTAAAAAAATGGAAAATAGGTGCAGAGTCATATACCAATTAACATACAGTATTTTCATTTTTGGTCTGTTTTTACAAACAGGATTGATATCTTTATTGTTCAGGAACCTTGAAGATTCA